TAGAGTTACGTGATATTGTAATTTGTGCGCATATTTCTCAGTGTGTGCCTTGCCTATTGATTTTCTTAATTGTGGTTATTTATGAGAAAACTTGTTTGATGTTTTTCTTTGGTTGGTACTAACATTAGATCTGTTCAATAAATCTTTGTTTACCTCAAAATCACAAAGATACTGTCCTGTGTTTTCTTTCTAGAAATTTTATGCCATTCTGGATTTTATTTTTAGTCTTTTATCCATCTTAAATTCATTTTGTTATTTAGAATAGCATCAAGGACAAGGCTTATTTTTCCCTATGCCCATTCAGTTCCTTGAACAGTATTTGTCAGGCTTTTCTATTTTTCTTGTTGAATTGGATTAGCCCCCTGCTTGGAAATAGTTTGCCTCCATGTATGTGGGTGTGTTGTGGGATTCTCTTTAATTGAACTCTTTTCTACGCTCACACTAATGTCTCCCTTACCCCACCTAGATTATTATAGTTTCTAGTAAGACCATCAAACTTGGTTTTCTTTCCAGTTTTTCTTTTTGTAGTGGTAGGAATCGAACCCAGGGCCTCATGCTTATTAGACAAGTGCTCTATCACTGAGCTACATCTACAGGCCTCGGCTTTCTTTCCTTTTTCTTCTTTAAAGGGTGCTTTGACTATTTTAGATTGTTTGAACTTTTAGTTCTTACCTGTGTTTTCAAAAGTACATTCTACAGTTTTGTTAAAAATTACATTGAATGTGGAGATTATTTTTGGGAGAATAGTAATTGTAGCAACTTGGATATTCTAGTCACTTAGTTCCTTTCTGTCTTTCTGACCATCAATCTGTCATTATTTCTGTTTTGTTTGAAGAATGAATGTTCATTATCGCTTTCCTTTTAATGATGGCATACTTAAAATTAGTTTTTGTAATTTTTGTTTTTCTGGAAATACCTATTTCTATTCTTTCTTGTTGGATATCCACCCCACCCCCGCCGTGTTTAGTATTCTAGGTTGTTAATTATTTGTTGTCAAAGTTTTGAGTATACAATTGTGTTGCAGTTTGGTCTCCATTGTTTCTCTTGTTTTATTCTATCACTTTGATTATCATTTCCAATCATCTCTGCCCTTTATGGATCTTTAAGGTAATTTCTTTACTGTAGATTTATGTAGTTTTACATAATGTATTCATTTTCGTTTAAATGGTTTGAATTTTTTTATACTGGTAATGCAACCCAGAGCCATGTGCATGCTAGGCAATTGTACTTTACTGAGCTACATCCCAGCCAGTTGGCCTTCCTTCTTTCCTTCCTTTTTTCCTTCCTTCCTTCTTCCTTCCTTCCTCCTTCCCCTTCTTCCCTTCCCTTCCTTCCCTTCCTCCTCCCTTCCTCTTCCTTCCTCTCTCCTTCCTTCCCTTCCTTCCTCCTTCCTTTTCTAGCATGTGTCGAGGTCTCACCAATTTGGAAAATTTATCACTTCATTTTGTTTCTGTTACATCATTCTTTTCCTCTTTTACTTTTGAGAGTAACAATGTATGTTGGATCTTCTCCTGGTATCTCATGAGTTTCTTGTTTCTTCTTCATCTCCAAGTTAGTTATTCATTCTTCATTTGGATAGTTTCCTCCAATTCTCTCTTGGGCTGTTTATTGTTAAACTCATGCATTTAATTCTTACGGGTTTGGGTTTTTTTTTTTTTTTTTGTATTTTTTAGTCCTCAAATTTCCATTTGTTTCTTTTTTCCTAATAGCTTTGAGATCATGAACTAGAATACTCAGTTTTGTGTCTCATCTCTTTGAACCTAGTAAACAAAGCTGGTGCCTAAGCTTGGATTTCCTGTAGGTCTAAAACTTGATGTATGGAGCTTCTGTGATTTTGCTTCTGGTTTTTGTTATTTCTGTGTGGTTTTCTGTGCATTGAACATACTGAAGTTTGTTTTTATAAATATGGGCCTGGGTTTTTTTGTTTTTGTTTTTGTTTTTTTCTGTTGGAGAAATGGAGAAATAATATCTTTCTCCATAATAGATGGAGAAATTAAGCAGAGGGAAATTAAACAGAGATGGTGGCTCTGCAGTACCAGCAAATGGGATCAGAATATCTCATGTTAGGGACTGAGATGATTTGGTGCTATAATGCAGATCTGTGGTCTGTCTGCTTCCAATTCACCTTTATTCCCAGGAGTTAGTCCTTTAGGGTCCCAGCCAGAAGAAAGAAGTTTGCCAGTGCCCTTGCTCTTTGGTGGGACCTGGTTTCCAGTTTCTGCACTATGAGTCTCATTTCACAGGCTCAGAGTTGCCAACTCTTAAGTTTTCACATTCTTCCAGATCCCAAATTCCAGAGTCATCTCCCTGGTGTTTCTCTGTCTTATCTCCAGTCTTGACTCAGCGATTTTTAGATATGTGTGTGTGTTGTTAATTCTCTAAACAGATATCTCAAAGTGTTTTTTCTTTTTCCTCAGAGGATTGATCAGAAATACTTAGTTTACTTTAGTGAAAACTGCTGAATTGAATCTTTCTGCCACAAAACATATTGTTGTCTTTTCATTATCACCTTCAAAACTAAAGAAAGGAACTTTTGATCTTTTGGAAATGTTCTGTTTGGGATAGGCAGTTTCATTGAGTTTTCTAATGTTCATTTATTGTGAGTGTATGGATACCAGAACCAACGTGCCTGGTTGGATCACCATTTAATTCAACATATTTAATTAAGAAGAAACTATTAAAACAATTATTTAAACTCTAACAGTTTTCATTTATCCTTCTGTATTTAGTATGTTGCCCACATAATGACCCTGAAGTTAGTAAGCGCCTCTGTCACACTCAGAGAAAACAAAAATATTCCAGAAATACTAAAATTCAGATAATTGACCTGGGCACCCATGTATCTCAGCGACCAGGAGCACAAGCTCTAAGGTAAATTTAAAAACTTCAGTGTTTACTTCTAATTATGATTCTAGGCCAAAAATGTAGAACGTTATTCAGCATTAAAAACTGAGTTAGTAATAGCTCTTCTTTAATTCCTTTTCTTTGTGTATGCCAGGATAGTCTTTTATGTTTTGTTTTATAATGGAACAATATAATTCATGATTTATTCCACCCTTCATCCTTTCCTGCACATTTATCATAACAATTTATTTATAGTCTCCATACCATGAAAACTGTGCATATGTACAGTAAGTTTCTTTTTTCAAGACGTTTATACTGCAGTTGATCAGAGAGGATATACAGAACGTTAATAGTTTAAGAACTATGTAGCATATTACATAACTCAAGTGAGTAGGTGCTGTGACATTAAAAATCTCACAGTACTACGCAGGCTCAGTTGTGGGCGAGAATAACTGAGCTTGGAGGAAGGTTAAGCTAGTGAATGGAAAGCACACTGGGAGATGTAGGGAGGAGGAGAGGCATGAGAGTGACATGAAAATGGGGACATGTGGTCATCTGTGACACACGAGCTTTTATGCCTACAGCAGTGATCAGAACTTCTGTAGTGTTCTGGGCTTGGCTAAACTGGGTTTTCATGTGGCTGATGAGAAGTTAATAACAACAGTAACAGCAGCAACAAAAGCAGATTATGTGCATAAATGAATGCCAGGCTGAGGCAGTGGGCAAATGTTTGTCTCTCAAAGGAGTTCTTAAAGGAAAAACTTGGGATTTAATCCATTGCATTATAAAGGATCTTATTGCTTCCCTTTTCTTAATTGGATCATAAAGTAGAAGCAAAATCAGAACACTGATATATAATAGGTTCTGAAGCAAGATATTGTACCATCACTTGTAGCTTCAGTTGCCTGATACTGCATTGCCCTTCTTTAAAACTGAGTTTGAAACCAATCCAGAGGACAGTCCTGCCGACCAGATTCTCATCATTCAGTCTCAGCCTGTTGAAGCTATTTATAATGCCGTAAGTGCAAGGAGAACATGACTCTATTAAAATGATTTGTATTTTTCTCTTTTTTTTTTATTTCCTCAAAGTTTCTCCAGTTAATGTTGAGAAGTGGAGTTCTGACTAATCAGAGGTCCAAACTAGATGTCTGTTGCTTTTTCCATATGTCCCTCTGGAGTGTCTCTGCTTCTGTAATCATGTGCACATGCCTGCTCCCCTCCAGCAAGTTTACTTGCCTGTTCCTTTCTCAAGGTTCTCTCACCCAGAGAGGTGCAGTAGGACAAAATATCTTTGCATTCCTTCCTCAATTCAAAGCCACAGTTGTTTAGAATTGAGGTGAACCATTCCAATTTATAATGGAGAAAAATTATGTATAACCTTTTTATATTTTGTAATTCTTTTATAGATAACCATCAATGCAGTGCTTGAATTCTTTCGATCAAACAAGGGTTTGGATCTTGAGCAAATAACATCAGCTACATTGACAAAGCTGGAAGAAGTTAAAGCAGAACAGCTAAGGTGAGTTTGACTGTCTACATAAGCACCAGTTGTAAACAGTATATGTAAAGTAGAATAGGTTGCTTTTTTTCTGTTGTAAACTGGTGTTGTATTGTTCAGTGGTCATGGCTTATTCAAAGTTCAATATGATTGTTGGCCTGAGTAGAAAGAGAATTAACGTGGGTACAGATGATTCTGCCTGCATTACATTCAGGAATCCATGCTTCACAATGAGCTTGAGGTGGAAAACCTACCTCCATTGCAGTTCTTCAGCAGCTGTTCAGCTGCTGAACATGAGTGACTCTAGTTTTAAAGATAAGTGTTTTTGTATTACATGGTCTTAAAACTCAAGCCAACTGTTTTATCTAGTTGCTTAACCAAGGAAATAATAAATCATTCTATCCCTAGGTACAGTACTCTGTTGGGTTTAGTATGTTATGCTATGATGTGATCGTTTTCCATTGATTATATGCAGTTTTCACATTCTGTGCTGAATTGGGATTCTTAATTTGAGACAAAAATTTGTACTCTTCCTTAATATTTTTCAAGAAAATTGTTACCCTTGTTAATAGTATGATCACAAATTTCAACTTGACTACCTAATCTTTTTTATTTTTTGATCTTCTTTAGGACTTACACATATTATTGAACCTTGAAAAGTCCTTGATTTAAGGGTCAATCTAAAGCCTTGTCTGGTAATTCCTCAGACAGGTTTTCACCAAGAAATGTCAGATATTCTGATTTTAGATTTTGGTACACTTCAGGTAGGTATAGATGCTTTTTTGTCTGCCCATCTTTGACAAGCTTGGTAACTGACTATCTGATACCTTGGTGTTTTTTTTTTTTTTTTCTTCCCCAGTTTACTTGAACTAAACCTACACTAATTTTTTTCCAGCTTAGCTTAGAATATTTCACATATATTGTATGTCTGTTAAAACTAACAAAGATACTCCAGAATTTTCTGTAATTGTAGGAGATTTGACATTGAGGACCGGATTGCATCCCTGTTTTCCTAGTTGGAGAGAAGCAGTCTTAGTTTTCATTGTTTACAGTTTATGTAGTGTTAGTTGTTGCTTGTATATTTTGACAATAGAAAACTACACATATGAATATATGTTTAACTGTCATCAGTAACTAAGTACAGTAAGTGAACTCTTTACATTATGGATTTTGTATCTCATGGAATCCAAGCCTCTCTGGAAATTTCTGATGATTTCCAGAAATTTAGTCCTGAATTGATACTTTATTCTGTTGGGAAGAGGGAAAATGAAGTAGAGATTAGAACTAAATTCTAATAGCTTAATAAGTTTCATGGTAAAGGAGGGAAAAGCATCAAAACTGTGCTATTCATAGTAAAGGGTGCAAGGGTAGTAGTAGGGAAGGTGAATCTATGGGTCAGGAAGAGGAAAAGTTGCCCTTCTAGACAGGTTATTTGGGGCAGATAGCATGTGATTCATTGATGAAAGTGTGTAGCACCTGTTACACTAACAGTAAAGATGTATGCTGAAACACTAGTTTCCTAATAAAGTATTTACAAATGATTACCAATAAATTTAGTAAAATGTGTATTCCTTGAGGATAATCTTCTCACTTTAGATTTCAATAAAAAGCATCTATAGTATGTTGATGTATATACATTTCTGTTAAGAAAAAGATTGAGGCTCTTTTCCTTCCATTTTAGCTCAGCAGTAATGATTGAGGTTTATGGGAGACTACTAATTTATGTATGGAAGAAATAATGAAGCATATGAAAGTTTGATGTGCAGCTTCAAAATAAAGACTGAAATAAAGACTGTGCAGCTTCTCTTCATAAGATCAGGTAAACACCAATGCTCAACTTTTAGACGTTCAAATTAGTTTGAGTAGTATTGGTAATATATGTGCATATATTTGCACATGTATATCAACCCTGATGACTATTTTACATACATATCCTGCTGGTCACTTTAGAAAATCAAATGGGGGCGTACCAGTGCAAACACTGTCACCTTTATAGATAGAAATAGAAATTTGGTTATTCATATTAGGGTTCTGGTACCATTTGAATCTAAGCCCACTCATGGTCTGTGTCTTTGTAATGTGACTATGAAACCACTCAGACATAAATGGAAGTCTCAGTTGGTTCAACTACCTCTGTCCTAATCCTTTTGGAATGTTTCTTCCCTCACTGTTTTTATTGTTAAATATTACTATATGTTAGTTTACCCTTTATTTCTGTAGTACTACATTTGCTGTTCTGAGTATGTGAAAAGTGTATCTACAAACTAATACAGGTTGAGCTGCCCTAGTATAGAAATCCTTAAAGTAGTTCCCCGTTCTTTTCATTGTAGTCACCCACCTTGATCACTAATTCTGGAGTTGAGGTAATAAATTCCTCCTTTTTCTCCCATTAATTTTGAAATGCAAGATACACTATCAATATTCTTCAAATATCCAGTTATTTTTATCAGAATCTTTGACTTCTGTAAATCTGCATTAAAATGTAGATTATTTAACTTGTATGCTGAAAGAAGTAAAAGTTGGTATTCATTGAATATGCCTATTAAGTATTTTCTAGTAATATAGAATAGTTTTGCACAGAATATCTGATTTTCAAAAGTCATTTAGTATTTTAAATTATTTTTTAAGAGAGAAAGTGGAAAATGATGATTTTAGCATCCATCAACTATGCATATATTGCAGCCAATGGATATTCATAGTGAGTTGGCCAAGGCAATGGTAGGAAAGGATATTAAAATGGCCAGGTAATGTATAAGTTCCTTTTATATTAGAAATCAACAGGGTGAACTATATCTGAATCAGTTACTGAGTCTTAAGGAAGCAAAGATATTTGTGGGAGACAAAAATTAATGATTATTCTCTTTAGAAAAATATATTAAAGAAAATATGTTTTGAGTGGTATTTCTTTTTTCTTTATTTTAATCAATACTGGGGTTTGAACTCAAGGCTTCATGCTTGCTAGGTAGACTCTCAACCCCTTGAGCCACACCCAGCCTGAATGATAATGTTTTTATCTTGGAATTTGTATAATAATTAGTGATCTGTGATTTTGAGATGATGCAATTCAAGGTTCAGTATCATCAATGAGGTAATATAAAAAAATTAGAGGCTCTTTTGGTATGAAACCACATTAAAAACTGAGAGAAATCAGGGCAATAAAAAATAGAAACAGAATTAAATGATTATGAAATATTCATTGTCCTTTTTTTTGGCCGTACTTGCATTTACTGGTAGATCTGTGGCTACTGTCAGAGGGTCTGCGGGAGGGATACAGCCTATCCCATAGGGTCCAGGCATCCAAACTCTTGGTTTCTGTCCCCCACAGGGGCCCTTCCCCACCACTCCTGGCCCAGCCCCCGATGATGCTGCTGCTGGGGAGACTGCTCTGCTCATCTCTGCAGGCACAGTGTTCACCCTGGCCATTGCCCTGCCCCGGTGTTGCTCAGGACCTGACCTGTGACCCCACACGACGAAAAGGACAAGGGAGCAGACCACATGGACTGGGACCCCGGAATTTCAGGCCATGCTCTCCCTGCCACACCTGCCCTGCATGCACAGCCTAGGGTTCTGTGCACTGCCAGAGAGTCCACACATGTGCTGCAAGGGGTTGCTTTTCCTTTGGGGAAAAGCAGGGCACTAATGGACAAGGCAGCAGCCCACTCGTGTCCCAGGCTGCCCCAGGACGCCATTATCACGGTGTCCTGTGGACTGCAGGAGTTGAAGTCTGGCCACGCCTGCTTCGTGTCCAGCTCCTGGCCCGAGCACATGCAGGCGAGGCCACCATTACTCTGGGCTGCCCTGGCAGCGCCCTGAGCCTGGTCGCTGAGTACAGTCGGGCAGTGGGCACCTCCACCTCCAGCAGCTGCATGCTGAAGGCCAGGCCCTGGAGGAGGTGCCTCAGCCTGGTCCTGAAGCCACAGGGTGCAAGTAGGGTTCCGGGGCAGCTGCAAGGCTTCCTTGGACCAGGACTTCTGCATTGATGGCCTCGGCGAGGAGCAGGTACACTGCCTGGATGTGTATGTCAAGGCCAATCTCAAGGGCAAGGCCTGGAGTGGGGGGTGCCTGCTGGGCAAGGGCAAGCTGCTGCTGACTGCATCTGATTCTTTAGAGTCTGACAGCACCTGTTGTTAGGTCACTGTACAAAATAAATATTTATTTTTATTCATGGTCTTCCTTTATTGACGTTTTAGTTTTTGGTCTACAGCTCTGTAGATTTGGTACAGAAGGAAAAAGTAGTAACACCCTCCCCATTCACAGCCCAGATTTCTCTTTCTAGACCAATTTTATTTGGAAAGGTAGAAAGGGTTGGCTTGGGACTAAAAGAGAGAAAGTGTTGGTTCTGGAAACCTAAAGAGCAAATGAGTGAGTATCCCATCCCCATGGAGAGCATTATGATTCTGCATCCTGAGGAGGAGGAGTAAATCTGCATTCCTGCACCCTGAAGAGGAGATACAGGGTCTCATAGATCTGCCACAGTACTGATGAGCAAAGTGCTCTCAACATTGTTCGCTCCTGCCCCCAATAAGGGGAAAAAACCAGCTCATCTAAGCGCAAGAATCCATGGCCAATGAGAAGAGCCCACCTAGCCCTTACCCAAACTCAGAATTAAAACATCCATAAAAGCCCCAGCCTTCACCTGAACAGGAAGCCACTGGTTTCTGGGCTCCCCTGCACTGCTCTAGCTGTAGCTGTAAATCTTACTTCGTGTACCGGCTTTGGGTCATCATGAGCCAGTTCTCTGGCCTGTGAAGCCAAGGACCCTCGACCCCGGCCTACAACATTTCTCACCAGCACATAACAAAGGAGGTCCCCTCATGAAGGGGCACTGTTTCTCGTGCTCCCTCCCTTGCTTGAGCAAGCTTTCTCTCTGGCTCCTTGGTTATTACTGGACCTAACAGGGCTTAACTGGGTATGACTGAAGATTTCAGAATAGAAGCGACATGGGATAGACAGAAAGTTGGGGTCAGGTGTGTTATACACTTGGCTGGAGATGCACAACCCTTATTGCTGCTTTTCTCTATCTTGATTATTTAAGGCCTTACTCCTTGCAGTTCTTTAAAACCTTGCTTAAAACCTCTTTCCTTAGGCTTGCACTGTCCCATGTTTGCTCTTAGCTTATCTTTAGCTTAATTGCTCTTAAAGTCTTTTGCCCCCACCTCGCACTGTCTCTGTTTAGTGCTCAAACTTGCAAACAGCCAGACCTACAACATGCATATACATAAGTCTTAAAGTCTCATCTTAGACTTGCACTGTGCACTGTCCCAAATTCTCTTTGGCTTTTCTTTTCTTTTCTAAGGCCTATGTATGAAGTTCTTTCTCAGCTTTGCTTTCTGAAGCCTATGTTAAAGTTCTTGGTACAGATTTTCTATCAACTCCTCTTTAGCAATTTCCCTTTAACAATTCTTTTACCTTCAGCAATTTTTCCTTTCAATAATTCTTTTCCCTTCCAAAAGCTTCCCACACAAAAGGCCCAAAGTAAAAGCCTCTGTCTTAAAACCCAGTATTCCAGGAAGTGGCAATTTGCATTTCAACTCATCTGGGAATTCCTATTGCAGTGCTAATGAAGAGGAAGATTTGCCTTGAGGCAGGCCTTAAAACATGGAAGCTGCCAATTAAAACCTGTAAAAGAGGTTACCTTAAACAGGGCCATAAGGCATGAGAAATTGCCAATTAAAACTATACAAGGAAGTTCAAAGCCTAGATAAAGGGTACCATACAGAAATAATCACGCATTCCTGCCTTCCTTTGTCTCCTCTTGTAAATAAACTTTCCAAAGCAGATCTCCCTGCTGTTCTTATCTACACCTTAGGTCTCTAACTCACCACTAGCTCATCTACTAACCCCAGCACATTCCTTGTAACCTGATGCCCTGCACTTGCTCTTTAAGTATCCGTGAATTCTTTGTTCAGGGCCCAAATTATGAATATGAACTCATCTGGGTCCGCTGGTGTAAAATAAAATCTGAGTTCTCCACTTCTCCAAGTGTCACTTTGTTTCTCGTCTGACAATATTTCCACAACACCAGGATACCAGGTGACTGCAGGAGAGAGACTCACAGCAAAGGAGGCAATGCAAAATGAAGGCGGGAGCCAGACTTTTCTCCTGCTTTTAGTTAACTTGTGGTTTCCAAGTAAGGAGGCAGTGCTTTTTAGCAGAAGCAGTTTCTAAGTACCTGTCATACTTTGAGACAGTCCAACATTTAGAAATAGAGAAGAGGTCAGCGTGTGGGGACAGGGAAGCAACACTGTGATGTATGAGGAAAACCAGCTGACATGGTAGGCAAATGGAAAGTGCTCCAAGAAGGCAATGCTCAAACCACTGACACCCTGCTGGTCAAGAAAGATGAGAACTGGACATGGTCACTGGCATTGCCAGATGAAGGTCACTGGCAGCTTTGACAAGAACAGTCTGTTTCAAGTAAGGGTTTCAGGAGACACACAAGGATGGGTTAATATGTGAAGGAAAGTGAAAAGTACAAACTGTTGGGTCTGAAAACCTAAGGCAGATGAGGGAGTATCCCATCCCCATGGAGAGCAATATCATTCCTACATCCTGAGGAGATGGAGGCCTGCATTCCTGCATCCTAAAGAGAGATACAGAGTCTCATAAATCTTCCACGGGGCTGATAAAATGCTCTCAAGGTTGTCTCCCCCCCCCATAAGGGGCAAACAGACCAGCACCGCTCTCACTGGCACCAGTCAAGCTAACCTGCCAGGGAAGGCAGTCTGCAGTGTACAGATAACATTGGTCTACTTTGTCTTCTAATAACAGACTTCCCATGTTTTAAAGGATAATTTTCCTTCATCTCTCATATTCACTGCCAGCCAGGCATATTCTTCCTTTCTTTTACATATAAGAGGAAATGTGTTGTAAATGAGAATTGCCAGTATTAAAATATCTGGAGCAGTGGTGCCTGCCTGTACTCCCAGCTATTGGGCAAGAGAGATCAGGAGGACCACAGTTCAATGCCAGCCTGAGCAAACAGAAAAATTCTATCTCAACAGACAAGCCTGAGAATAGAGATAGAAGGGTCAAGTTCCACAGCTGGCCCCAGGCAAAAATCCAGTTTGAAAAGTGACTTAAGCAAAAAGAAAAAGGGGGGGAGGGCAGGGCTTAATTGGCAGAGTGCTGGAGGCCATGAGGTCAAACTTCATGAGGAAAAAGAAAAACAAAACCCAACAAATTAAAATACGTGGCATGGTGTTAACCCTGGCTCCATTACTAGTCTGCATTCAGAGGGTTTTTAACCATCACTGCTCATGAAAAATGCTATTTAGAAAAGTTTCAGTTCAGTGGAGCTATCGTTATCTCAAACTAGCAGTATTGTCATGTTTTTCTTGTATCTTTTATTTTTTATCTTCTACAAAATCAGAACAGGAGGATGGAACGGGTCCTCTGTGTGTGTGTGGCGGAGGTGTTGGCACTGTTGTGGAAGTATGGTCAGAGAAGAAACCAAGCCACACTCGGAGAGTGGAGAACTCAGATTTAATTTTTACGCCAGCAGGCTCAGATGTACCTGTGTCTGAGCCCTGAACAAAGGATTCACAAGATATTTAAAGGTAGTGCAGGGCATCAGGTTACAAAACTGTGCTCAGTTATGTGTCCTAACCAGTGAGTTAGATTGTTTAGGTTAATTGGGCTGGTAGCGAGCTAGGGACCTAATGTTGTTTAGATAAGAACAGCAGGGGAGGCCCGCTTTGGAAAGTTTATTTACAAGTAGAGACAAAGAAAGGTGGGAATGGATGCTTATCTCTGCATGGTGCCTTTCATCTCAGTCTGAACTTTTGCATGGCTCTAATGGGCAATTCCTCCTGCTTTACAGCTCTGTCCTTGGTTACAGCTTTTAATTGACAGTTTGCTGTTTTACGACCCTGTTTCAAGGCTATCTTCCTCTTCAGCACCAGTGGGAGGAAGAGGTGGTGGTGAAATGGGGGTAGAAGAGTGAATATGGTGCATATAATGTGTACACATGTATGTAAATGAAAAAAGTATACCTGTTGAATCCTTCCAGGAATGTTTCCTCTGGGGGAGGGAGGAAAAAGGAGAGTGGTGGAGGGGGTAAATTCAAGTATGATATATTTGATACATTGTAAAAATCTTTATAAATACCACACTGTATTCCCACCCAGCACAGCAATAAAGAAAAAAAAAAGTTTCAGTTTTTGTCACAACTCAGATGTAAACTGGTATCCTAAAAGGTTTTCATTGAACCATCATGTAGTTATTGATGATCAAGCAAGAAGCTTGCAGTGGTTGGCCACATGAGTGACAGCACATGACACACTAGTCCACATCTGACTTGTGCTTTTGTTTTTTGTGCACTACAGGTTTTGAACTCAGGGCCATGCACTTGGCATGCAGGCACTACCACTTTAGCTGTGTGCCACCAGCTCTTTGTGCTATTTTATCTGTTTACCACTTCCTTGGCCCTTAGGCCAATATTTTTTTAATATCTAACTTCATGTAATACTGAAGTAACTAATACTAAAGTCATATACACTG